CATCGGCAGGCGGACTCGCAACCACTGCGCCACCAGGGAAGCCCGCACATCAATAAATTTGATAGAAACCAATTCCTCTGGAGTAAGGTTATTTTATTTTATTTTTAAAATAAATTTATTTATTTATTTGCCTGTGTTGGGTCTTCGTTGCTGTGCGCAGGCTTTCTCTAGTTGGGGCGAGTGGGGGCAACTCTTCGTTGCGGGGCTCAGGCTTCTCGTTGCGGTGGCTTCTCTTGTTGCGGAGCGCGGGCTCTAGGCACGTGGGCTTCAGTAGTTGTGGCACGCGGGCTCTAGAGCGCCGGCTCGGTAGTTGTGGCGCACGGGCTTAGTTGCTCCGCGGCATGTGGGATCTTCCCGGACCAGGGCTCAAACCCGTGTGCCCTGCACTGGCAGGCGGATTCTTAAACACTGCACCACCAGGGACGTCCCTGGAGGGAGGTTATTAATAGGCTTTTACTAAACATGCCCAGCTAATTATTAATGGAAGGATTAATAATAAGACATGTTTGTCCTCGAAGCATGTTTGAAGTATATGTATAAAATGACTTACACATTTAGCCATTTAGCAGAGAGCCTAATAAAAAATGAACATTGTGGGCTCCCCTGGTGGCGCAGTGGTTGAGAGTCCGCCTGCCAATGCAGGGGACACGGGTTCGTGCCCCGGTCTGCGAAGATCCCACATGCCGCGGAGTGGCTGGGCCCGTGAGCCATGGCCGCGGAGCCTGCGCGTCCGGAGCCTGTGCTCTGCAACGGGAGAGGCCACAACAGTGAGAGGCCCACGTACCGCAAAAAAAAAAAAAAATGAACCTTGTCTTTCTGAATGAAGAGTTTTAGAATGATTTACAGACTTGCAGAATATGATCAGTCAAGAAAAAATATTATTAATTTTCTGTCATTATCCACAAAAAGACCTATTTTTTAAAAATTTTGGATAAGAGTTCTGATTTTTTTCATTCATTTAACTACTTTTTATTGCACACCTGTATTGGTTATGCACTATGCTAGGCCGTAGGAATGTAGAAGTCTCCACAAGTAATATGATTCTTATCCTCCTGACTCTCACTGTCTAAATGAGGGAGACAGACAAGTAACTAGCAATTATAATTTTATATGATATTTACTCTGATATCTTGGTGCTCTGATATGGAATAGGTACAGGGCTAGAGAAGGCTTCTTTGAGGATAGTGGTGTCTGTGCTGAGACCTGAAGGATTAATAGGAGCTATCCTGGCAAATGGTGAGGGAGTCATAGAGTATTCTCAGAGGGAATAGGGTGTGTAAAGTGAAGGTGGAATATTCCAGGGATTGAAAGAAGATCAACAAAGCTAGTGAACAGAGTGTTAGTTAGGGAAGTAACCAGAGAAGTCTTTAGAGGCCAGATTATATACACCAGCTTTTTTTGTGTCCTGTATAAATGTTTAAGGATATATTTAAATGCTGTTCTGTACCGATTAAGTAATCACTTTAATAGATAACCTGATTAAGAAAAGCCTACTGGATCTAGTCACTGGTTTATAATTTTTTAACTTGTTCTTTTAGTATGAAGATTTGATGGAAGCCTTTAAAACTTTGCATAAAGAATGTGAGCAGCTCAAGACATTTGGATTTTCTACAGCAGAAATAAGAAGGGTAAAGGAAAAAAACATAATAACCATTTCTGGGGGAACTTGAATTAAATTCAGTATGAGTCTTAAGATTATGTGGAAACTAGTGATAGCAAGTGGCAAATTTTCTTTTGTAGGACCTTTGCTGATTCTTTACTGAAGAAATTAATGAGGCCAGGGTAAATTCATAATTAGTTCTTATGTACTATATAGACCATTACCATGGATTAAAAGCAATTAAAATTTGGGTCTTTATCTAATATATATATATGATATAGAAAAAAATATATATGTGTGTGTGTATTTGGGATCATGCTATACATAATTATTTGTTTTTTTAATCATTACATGGGAATATATTCCCATTGTTATCTTTCTACAGTATGATTTTTCATGACTAAATTTATATTAATTAATTATTAATATTAATTTAATATTCTGTGGTATGGATAGTCTAACAATTTTTGGTGTTTTGTTTTCATTTTTTGCTGTCATAGATAATGCTGTGATTATCTTCTACATAAATTTATTTGGGGATACCTGCGATTGTTTCCTTAGAGTAAATTCCTAGAAGTAGAATTGCTTATTAAAGCATATGAGAATTTTTAGGACTTTTGATGTATGTTACTTAGTGTTCTCCAAAAAATGTCTTTATATTCTTGCTAGGTGTGTAAGTTCTTTCTCTAAACAATTGCTAATTCTCACTTTCATGGATTTTGTATTTTTAGAAATCACATCTTTATCTTCTCATTCAAACAGGAAACATTAGAAGTTGCTTCCTCAGGGAGGCCTTCCCTGATTCCCTAGATAGATTAGTTCCCCCCAGTTCTTTCTGTTTCATAACACTCATTACACTTATGATTATTTTAGTGCCTGTCTTACCAACTGTATTTAAACCCAGTGAGGGCAGGGACCACGTCTACATATCTTGTTCACCACAGTATCCCCAGTGCCTATCACAGTGCCCTGCATGTGGGAGGTTCTCAATAAGAGTTTGAGAATGTATGTATGAATGTATAAGAAATGAAAGATGAACTCACATCTAATGGAAAAGAAAGACCCATAAGTAGATAGTTATCACAAAGTATGGAATAAGAGTGATGTCTATCTATGGTTCCTCCATTATGTCATGTGAGTAAACTAAAATGATAAAATAACTTAGCGTCTGTGATTTTAATTTTATTAATTATTACCAAAGTATTTTTCAACATATTCTTTGTAAAGTATGATTAAGCAAAAAATAGAAAATAATTCACTCAAAATGCCATGCTCTAGTGATAACTGCTACTGATATTTTAGTGAATATATTTAATACATTTTTCTTGGTATTGTATTATATATAAATGTTATAATCTGCTTCTTTCAAGTAATGTCATATCATGACTTTTTCTCATGTCATTCAACATTCTTCATGATTTTTAGTGATTTTCATTGTGTTGTGCCATAATTTACTTAATAATACTCAGACATTTGGGTCATTTCCAAATTTTAGATATAATTGACATCTATGAGGATCTTTATAGATTCCCAGAGGGGAAATTACTGAGCCAGAATGCATACACATTTATTTTCAGACTTTTGATATTGTTCTTCAATATAATGCCACCAGTAGTAACAGTGCCTGTTTCCCCAAATCCTGTCAGTACTGACTACCGTATATATTTTTCCTTTTATTATTACTGTGAGAGTTAGCCTATTAGTTTTTTGGGTTAGGAAGGATTTTTTGTTTGTTTGTTTTCACTAGAAACTATTGTGGAGCTGGTTAAAAGACATTTTTGAAATCTTTATTTTTAGAAAGGGAATTGGTTAATTGACAAAACCAGATACAAATTTATGTCTTGAAAACACCATAGCCTTAAAAATAATATTGGTGGAAAATTGACAGAATATATAGTTTGGTATTTAACAGAGCAGACGGGATGTCAGCAGCTGTTGTTCATGTTTTTAGACCTGTACACTTTCCATTATAGAAGATCTTTGAAAAATCATGTGCCCATATTTGGAATCAGAACACAAATGTCTGGTTGGCAGCTTTACCTTACTGCTTTGTAACCTGTTTCAGTTGCTTTTCTAGATGAACACCAAGCTACCAAATAAATTACCCTGCATAAAGAACCCTGGGGTGAGGGGTGGGAATAGAAATGCCCTTCATCCAAAAGAGGATCTTTGTTCCTTAATGCTCTGGTTATAAATGATGGAAATGGTAGATGCATAATCATGTAAAGACCTTATCTGAATTCTACAGACAAAGAATACTTTTTCTTATAACGTCTTCTTGACTACTTTTTAGGATATCAGTGCAATGGAGGAAGAAAAGGATCAGCTCATTAAGAGAGTTGAACGTTTGAAGAAAAGGGTAAGGCAAGAATTAGCACTGTAAGACTTTGGCCCCAATTCCCAAGGACTTGCAAAGATTTAGGAATGCAAATAAAGATTAGCAAGGCATGAGTGTACATCGGAGGCTGGAGTCAAATACATTGATGGAAAGGGAATCTCCCTAGGCAGCAGCCCGAAACTTGTTAAGGACCTGGAGTCTGAAACTTTAGTGTCATCTCTAGGGAATACTGTTTACCAAAAGGAAATGATAAGTGGATGTCTGAGTCACATGACATGCTAATGTCTTTCTTAAACCTGATAGTAATATATACTATTTATTCCCTCACTGTAGGTGGAGACAGTTCAGAATCATCAACGGATGCTTAAAATAGCAAGGCAACTTCGAGTTGAGAAAGAGAGAGAAGAATTTCTTGCACAACAGAAACAGGAACAAAAGAATCAGGTACCCACATAAAAGTTTATATTCTCATTGTGAAAGAAATAGTTCCTGCTGATCATTCAAATGTAAAGAAGATTTTTTAGAATTGTAGTTCACGATTCCCTTTGTTAACATGATGAAATACTCTTTTTAAGAGTATTGTGTGGTGAGCTTCCCTGGTGGCGCAGTGGTTAAGAATCTGCCTGCCAATGCAGGGGACATGGGTTCGAGCCCTGGTCTGGGAAGATCCCACATGCCGTGGAGCAACTAAGCCCGTGAGCCACAACTACTGAGCCTGCACATCTGGAGCCTATACTCCGCAACGGGAGAGGCCGCAAGAGTGAGAGGCCCGCGCACCGCGATGAAGAGTGGCCCCTGCTCGCCGCAACTGGAGAAAGCTGTTGCACAGAAACGACCCAACACAGCCAAAAATAAAATATAAAGTAAATAAATTTATAAAAACAAACAAACAAACAACAACAACAACAAAAAGAGTATTGTGTGGCACCAACAGCAAAAACAATACCATCTTTTGGGTTCTATTCTCTGTAGGTATCTATACACTATCTTTTGGCCCATGCTTAACTCATGTTGTTCCAGCATTACAGAATATCCATTGTAATGTTAAGCAGTAAGAATAACTGCTAATAAAACTTCTAGAATCTCTAAAGGGTGTCCTGAGATTGTGGGGCTATGAAAAAACATCCATTTTATTCCACTGATCACTGTATTCTTTACACTTTACTCCATGGGCAAATAAGCAGATCTTGAAAAGGCTCAAAATTACCCACACTCCACGTTTTTAGACTTTGCCTTAAAGAAAAAATAATTTGGCCAGAATTTCTTTTTTTTTTTTAATTTATTTATTTAATTTATTTATTTTTGGCTGCATTTGGTCTTCACTGCTGCGCGCAGGTTTTCTTTAGTTGCAGCGAGCAGGGGCTACTCTTTGCTGTGGTGCGCGGGCTTCTCATTGCAGAGGCTTCTCTTGTTGTGGAGCATGGGCTCTAGGCACACGGGCTTCAGTAGTTGCGGCGCATGGGCTCAGTGGTTGTGGCTCATGGGCTCTAGAGCACAGGCTCAGTAGTTGTGGTGCATGGGCTTAGTTGCTCCACGGCATGTGGGATCTTCCCGGACCAGGGCTCGAACCTGTGTCCCCTGCACTGGCAAGCGGATTCTTAACCACTGCGCCACCAGGGAATTCCCGGCCAGAAAGTATTTCTTCTATTTTATTAAAAATCTATATTAGGGCTTCCCTGGTGGTGCAGTGGTTGAGAGTCCGCCTGCCGATGCAGGGGACATGGGTTCGTGCCCCGGTCCGGGAAGATTCCACATGCCGCGGAGCGACTGGGCCTGTGAGCCATGGCCGCTGAGCCTGCGCGTCAGGAGCCTGTGCTCCGCGACGGGAGAGGCCACAACAGTGAGAGGCCTGTGTACCGCAAAAAAAAAAAAAAAAAAAAAAAAAAATCTATCTTAAAACTGAGTAGACTTGTACATGAAAAATATATTTCAAATCAGCTTCATTTCCTACTAAGTGAGCAGTTTAGATGTTTGGCTCTTTTGGAACTTGGCTTGGCATCATAATAGTTACCCTGCAGCAGTAAGCTGCATTGCCCACGCCCTGAATGGTTAGTTAGCATCAGTTTCTGATTCCTGAGCCATCATTTCTGAGAATGCTAGCATTCCTTAGAATAAAGAAAGCCATGTTTTAACAAGAAAAGCCTGGTGCATATACGTTTCTAACCAGCATTTTTCCTTGATCACCTAATTCAACAAATAACTAAAGAAAAAGTTTCTGAAAGCTTTTCTTTTAAGTTTTACATGAGAGGGTATTGAGTGAACCAATTACATTTTGGGTTTAGCTTAGTAATTTTTTAGTTCTTATCATTTGTTCCCTTTACAGCATAATAATTATGTGGAACTTGTATTTTTCATTGCATGTCTATGAATGGTAGGTTTCATTAGACTAAGGAAGTAATAGATCTAATTGTATTTTAAAGCTATTTCATGCAGTGCAGAGACTGCAAAGAATACAAAACCAGTTGAAAAGTATGCGCCATGCAGCAGCAGATGCGAAGCCTGAAAGTAAGTGGAAATTATATGATATAGATGATCATATAATATAAGTCATCATATTAGTGAGAATATTAATTTAAATCAGTAGTCTTCCTTACTAATGGGAACTAATTATCGTCAAGTGATAGCTCAACATTTTAGGGCATCATTTCCTAGCTAGTAAGTGACAGCCCTGATGAAGACATCCTTAAGTGTTCACCTGTGGTTTTTAAATTCCCTTTCAGTGTTTCGTCAGAGGGTGAACTAATGAAAACCACCATGGAGAGAGGCTCTCTGGTGTGTGAATGTATAAAATACTTAGAATGGATTTTATGAGAATGATGGATGGAAAAAATGTGAATATTGTTTTAGTGCCAGGGCTATAAAGAAAAAGAGTAAAATGCTGGATCCTTAAAACTGAGTGTTGTTTCATATTTTGGGTTGTGCTAATGACATGGGTATCCCTGGCTCTGCTGGCACATTAGCTTTACATAGAGGATACATTGTTCTGATATCCCAGATTATACCACCAAACCTATCCTAGGCATTTTTTAAGTGTGCTCATCAGAAGGGAGACCATGTAAATTGGAAGAGCAGTAAAAAGTTCTCATTGGTATTGGAGAAATATTTCAGTATAAATATCCAGCTATGGGAAGGTTAATTTATCTTTTTCTAGTATTCTGTGAAATATTATACTCTAAGATATAATATACAGAATGACTGTAATAAAAAAGACAGTCAATAACAGGTGTTGACAAGGATGTAGAGAAATTGGAACCTGCATACTTTGCTAGTGGGAATGTAAAATGATGCATCCACTTTGGAAAACAGTTTGGCAGTTCCTCAAAGTGTTAAACCTAGAATTACCATATGATCCGGCAATTTTATTCTACCCAAGAGAGTTTAAAACATATGTCCACCCAAAAACTTGTACATAAATGTTCATAGCAGCATTGTTCATAATAGCCAAAAAGTAAAAACAACCCCAGTATCCCTAAACTGATGAATGAATAAACAAACTGTAGCATATCCATACAGTGGAATGTTATTCAACAATAAAAGGAATGAAGTGTTGATACATGCTACAATATGCATGAACCCCAAAAACATCTTAAGTGAAAGAAACTAGTCACAAAAACATATTATATGACCCCATTTGTATGAAATTTCCAGAATAAGCAAATCCATAGAGATGGAAGTCAAACTAGTGATTGCCTAGGGTTGGGGAACTGTAGGGGAGGACAGCTGTGTTGGTAGGTGGATGATGGGGGGAGGAGGTGACTGCTAGTGGGTATAGAGGCTTCTTTTGAAGCTGATTAAAATGGTCTAAAATTGATTGTGGTAATCGTTACACAATTCTGTGAATTTACTAAAAGCCATTGAATTGTACACTTTAAACAGATGAATTTTATGGCTGTGTGGTAAATGATATCTCAATAAAGCTGTTGAAAGAGATAATACAGTATTTCCTTGATTCTAGACACATGTTCTTTACCATTTTAATTGGTTTTGCAATTGAGATACATCTTATACTTTATGTATGCATTTCACATGGTATTTGTAATTTAGTTGATGGCACCTTAAAATCAAGGAAATACGGCATATTTAATTGATATTTAAGAAACCAGTATAGTACTCCCTATAAAATGTATGGTTCATACGTATTAATTAGTGGCTTTCCATAGAATCTCTGACTCCTCTCAGTCATAAATTCAGATTCAAGCAGTACCTGGAAGTTGCCATGCATTTAGTTGTTGGTGTCATTTGATTCCTTATTCACTAGGTTTTCACCTTTTAGGAGAATGTTTAGGACAAAAGAAAGTAATTTTTTAGTGCTTTTTTTCCTCCTTAGTATTATATATAGTATATCTTTTTAGTATATGTTCTTCGGGTTTGATGTAGGTTCCTTCACATCTTTACTGTAAAAAATTAAGATAAATCTTCAAAAGAAATTCCTTAAATTATAGCCATTTAAAAATTAATATCAATAAGCAATTTGTTTTCATATGTCTATCCTTGCTAAGAAATTTCTAGAACTTAACATTAATAGTGAATTTTTGAAAATGAAGGTAATGTATATAAGAATTGAAAGATTTGGTATGCAGAAAAATTGATTGATCAGTACAGTTTAATACAACTTAAAATGTTAGCCTGAACATGTGTTTCTGCTTATCCTCAGTTTTATTTGGTTAAATATTTCTTGCTATTGTGTTTTAATTCTGGTAACTAAACAGAATATCCAAAGATATTTATAGTATTAGTAATATTTCATTTTTTGTTTGAATTGATAGACTTTGTTTTGCTTTGGCTTTCTAGCCTAAATAGAATTGTTTGGGCCAGGAAATACATAATTATTTAGTAATAAAATGGACAAATAAAGTTGTTCTGTTTTGGGCATCTCTCGAAATGTTGGTTTAAAATATTAATATAAGCAATATGTTAGTAGATGATGCTAAACAGTAAAGTCAATTGTGTTGTTACGCAGTAATAGAAGTAATTGGCTCAAAACCAATAGTCCATTAATTCAGTGTTTACTGGACATCTGCTACTTGTCAGATACTGTGCTAAGTGCTAGGAATAGAAAGAAAAGCTATTTCTATTAAAGTGCTCACAGTCTAATGGAGAAATGACAAGCAGTGGACAATTACAATGCAGTGTGACAAATACACCGATGGAGCTCAGCACAGGCTCCCATGAGAACAAAGAGGCGAAGAGCACTAAACGCTAACACAGAGTCAAATGGTTTCCTGGAGGTGTGGCAATTGAGTTAAATTAAAGCTGGAGAGGTAGAGGAGTGGAAGACATTCCATGCCAAGGCAGAGTGACCTAAAAGAACATAAATGTAGTAAGCTAAGCAAATGATGGAGGAAGAAGTAGAGATAAAAGGGCAGGCTTCTTCTGACTGCTTGTCTTTGAAAAGAAAGCAAGGGAGAGAGTGTGCAAATGATTGAGAAATATAGTACTGTGCATAGATTGAGGCAGGGTAGTGGTCTAGTGGTGTTCACATTGCTGGAGAGTCAGTCAGACAAAGGAAGATTGGAAGATTCAGGAGGAAAAGGTGAGAATTGGTAACAACCTTTCCTGTGTGCTCCCATTGTGTCCCTGTATTGCGCTGAATGTTCTACAGCAGTTACCATAATATGTTAATTGTTGGCATATCTGACTCTGACACAGCTAAACAGGCTAGTCACCAAGTCATAATTGTTCTTTCTATTTTCAGGCCTTAGCACACAGATTACACACAGCCAGCATTCAGTAAACAATCTGTTAAATAGTTGGGTGGTGGGAGTAGAGACCTTAACCCTGCATAGGAAGAAAATGATCTTTTCCACGGGTAGGAGGGAAATTAAGTAAGAAAAAAAAATGGCTGAAAATATAAAAATAAGGTATTATGTGTGCAATATATGTTTTTTGTGGATGGACAGGGAGTGGGGAGCAGGAAGTTAAGGAGTTCCTGATTTGTTGACATCTTTCTGGGAAGCAGAGTCTTAAGGATTATATTCAGCAGCCTAGGAAAAGAGTAAATTAAACAGATGTTCAGTTGCTTCAGGTATTTAGTTTAATAAGGTCCATCGAAATTTTTTAGTAACAACAAATGGCTTACAAAAAATTTCTGTTTGCTTAAATAACATAAAAGTATTTTTAGTATAACAGTATAATTTGTATTTTTTCAGAGTAACAGCTGTATTATAAAATACTCACTTGTTAATTCATCTTTATACTCTACATATTCCTGAGATTTGTTATGTAAAAGAAGCTACTCATTCAGTTGTAATAGGATCAGTGAGACGTTTTCAGAGGGTTTTTAATCAAAATGTTTGCAGAGATCTTAAGTGACCTTATATTTAATTTCACCAGGATTTTCAAAGATAATTTTTAAAAAGCTGCATAGAAACGTGTCCACTTTTCATAAGTTAAAATTTTTAAGAGAAGAATTTAAAATGTGATGGAAACTCTGTTTTTGTTTTTTAATAGCTTTACTGAGGTAAAATGGACATACAGTAAACAGCACATGTTTAGAGTATACACTTGATAAGTTTTGACATACATATACACTAGTGAAACTGTCAACCTTAATCAAAATAACAAATATATCCATCACCCCTAAACATTTCCTTGTGCCCCTTTGTAATATCTCACTCCTGTCCCTCTCTGCCTCTCTAACCCACCCCAGGCAACCATTGATCTGCTTTCTGTTACTATAGATTGGTTTGTATTTTCTAGAATTAGAAACTTTTTTTAAATAAGGAAAGTAATATTAAAGAATTTTAAATCTTTAAAAACATTTTAGATTTTGATTTCTTGCATCTCTGATTACATGCACTATGTTTAAGAACTTGAAGGTGGAAAAACTAGTCATCTAATAGCCAAAGAAGCCAGGTGGTAGAGTTAATCGGAAACCATATAGGAATGTCTGCCTAATTATAGTGTGATTCAGTAAACACTTTCTTTTCCCTTCCTTTCCCCAGTCCCTAAAAAAAGAGGTGGAAAATTGTAGGGATGAATGGAAAACTCGTGAATTTACCATTAATAAATTTTTACACATTAATATACGGTTAGCACAGCAGAACTAAAAATAATTTTAAGGCTTTGGCTGAGATTTATTATGCAATCTACGTACATAGATTACTTAAACCGGAAATCCAGTGTTTTAAAAAGTCAAGCCAGAATTTGTAAATGTGTAATGGAAAGATCTGAAATAAACTTTTTAAAGCTCTCAAGGCTGGGAATTTATAACAAAACCATTATTCACTGAAAATCTGTATATGTGTATGTTTGTTCACTCTGCCAGAATAAGAAAATGTATTTTAAGTTGCCACTTAACTGTAAACTAATACTGCCAGAATAAGAAAATGTAATTTAAGTTGCCACTTAACTGTAAACTAATACTTTACAAAATCAAAACTACCAAACATGGAAAACTGAAAATGTTTATAAATGTAGATAATTTCTCTTTTTCAGATTTTAACTTGTACCTTTAGTAATATCTTCATTGGTTTAAAGCTAAAAATGATAATGTATTACCATTTATGAAGTATTAGAATAGAAATATAAATTGCATCATAAGTACTGCAAAAGAAGAAGAATAAATGACCACTTATAGAAGAAATAACGTGGATTAGATTTCATTTGTGTTGTGATGTGGTTCATGGATTCCTTAAATACTTAGACGACAAAATATGACCCAACAAAATGTTTGGCACCGTAAAGGTTATTTTTGCATATTGTGGACTGTAAAAGAATTAGGTGGTAATTTGGAAAGATCATAATATTACTTTTTCTATAATTTAAATATTCTTCTATGTAAATTGTCCTTCATTATCACTGTAATTAACAGCAAAAAATTTTGGTGGCCAATCTTTTATTGTTCTATACTAGGTATTATACAGAATGCTTTCAATGGATGTGCCGTACTATCCAGGTCTTATGTTTTAAAATGTACAAAGCATCACTTTACCTACTCTCTTGGGCTGAATATTCATTTATTTTATTTTTATAGGTTTAATGAAGAGGCTAGAGGAGGAGATAAAGTTTAATTCATATATGGTAACTGAAAAATTTCCTAAAGAATTAGAGAACAAGAAAAAAGAATTGCATTTTTTACAGAAAGTGGTTTCAGAGCCTGCTATGGGTCATTCTGATCTTCTCGAACTTGAATCTAAAGTAAGTAACAATCATCTTCTTTTTATAAGCTTCCAATTTTATCTCATCCCCACTCCTGTGAAAATTATGTGAACTGCTTTCTATAGTGTCCTACTCTTGACTCTTAAGTTAACCTGTGCTAAGAGCTGACAGCTCTTATGAGGAGTTGTTCTTTATGAGAAATTATAGCACATAACGCTGTCACTTAATCCACATGGTGTTATAAAAACCTAGTCAACTGATTAGGAAAGTGGGTAACTTGGATATATAAATTAATGTATATGATTGACTCATAAGTTTATATATTCAGAATATAATAATTTAGTTGACAATTTTTAAAATATCATAAATGTGATTACTTTTTATTTCCAAGAATAATATTATAGCAATTTTGTATTTAAAGCTAATGTTTTTTATTAGCTTTTTATGCCTGCTTTGGAATTACTAAACTTGCTTGTAATGCTCATTGAAACCTGGTATCATAACATTTTTCTTCCCTAAAAACACTAATCAAATGTATATTTTTTAAAATAATAATTAAATATCATGAAAGTTGATTGAAAGATTTTGACTTTAATGTGCTTAATAGCCACTACAATTAAATACATAATTCTAATGATTTTATTCTTTTAATTTATGTATAGAAATTAGTTGTCCAAGTCAGATTTGGCTCAGTTCAATGTTATAAGATTAACAGGAAAATTCTAGTTTTTCAAAGGATAGTTATACTGAAAGCCATGTAATTTAAAAAAATTTATTATAGGACTATATGCTTCTATTGGCTTTATTCAGTTTTACTACCTTTGAGAAAAGTTTGGATTAATCAGTAGGATAAATGACAGCTATTATAGAATCATAGGTCATTCATTAGAACAGGAAGGGTTTTTAGATGTCATTCATGTCAACTCTCAGCTGGGTTCGTGAATTCCTTGTACTAAATCCCTGGGGAATGTTAGTCCAGATTTGCTTTATCACTTACAGTTACTTGAAAGTCACAGCCTAGGTGAAGGGATAACTTCAGATTTTTAGAAATCATCTTTTTGATAGTAATATATAAATATTTCATGTAGAATACTTTAGGATAATTTAGATATAGATGGTTAAATCCATGTAAGTAATCAAATTGTGTAAATATATATCATGAACTGTGAAATGCAAGTTGTCTCTAAAAGTAATCGTAACAGCCCACTCATAATGTTAATGGAGCTGATCCTCCCATCAAATTACTGATAATAACAACTGTAAATTCAAAGTTTTGTTTGGCCAGATGTCCCTTAGTTTGGGTAATCATAGGCAGAGTTTTAACCTTTTTATTTTCATACTGTTTTAGATAAATGAAATAAACACACAGATCAGTCAGCTGATTGAAAAGAAAATGATGAGAAATGAGCCAATTGAAGGCAAACTGTCACTATATAGGCAACAGGTAAGACCACTCCTTTTGGCTCACATATTTAGGTCTGTAATCTTGTTGGTGAACATTTTCATTAATACCATGGTCTGTGTTATCGATAGTCTTAAAGTGAGAAGGAAGCAAAGAATAAATGTTCTCCTGTCATTGCTAATCTCCAGATTATAAGAAAGAATTTGTGGAAAAGCCACAAAAGACACATGTTCAGGTTTGAAATTCAATATATCTGATAATGCTTAGTTTCCTTAGTGTCTGCCAACTGTGGTGATAGAGCTCTTTGTGGTTATATCTGTGAGTGTGAAATTTGATTTTTTATATGAATGCTTACTTTAAGTGATATAAATAAGACTATTTATAATCTTTAATGAACTAAAGGCAATATACTTTTTCAGGTTTAAAGTTAGTTTGAAAAAATACAGAATAAATTGAATTTTAGTGCTAAGGCATTTATCATTTTATCCAGAAGTCATGAGGGTATATATGTTGTTATGTATTTCTAGACAGAAGGCTCAAATGACAGCCATGGATTACCTGACAAGAACCTTGGCAAGAAGAGTTTAGTGTGAAGAGCATTCTGTAACCTCAGAAAATACTGAGCCACATAACAAAGCATTATTCAAGGATGCTAGAATTTTTAAAAAAACCTTTTTATAATGGAAAAATTTAACCATATACAAAGGTAGAGAAAATAGTTCAGTAAACCCTCGTGTGTCCCTCAGCTATAGCAATCATGGCCATTCTTATTTCATCTATACCCCCCACTCCAGCTGGATTATTTGAAGCAAATCTTAGACTTCATATAATTTCATCTACAAATATCTCAGAACGTATCTTTAAAAAATACTTTAAAAAAACTTAACATACCACATTTGAAAACTTTTATTACTTCCTTAATATTGGCAAATATCCAATCAATGTTCAGATTTCCTTGATTGTCTCTTTGTTTCTTTTTTTCCTTTCCTGTTTTTTTTTTTTCCCCCAGTGGCTTTGTTTTAATTAGGATCCATACAGGATTTATACACTGCATTTGGTTGATATATTTGTCTCTTTTAATCTATAGGCTCTCTTCCCTACTTATTTAATCTCTTTTAATCTATAGGCTCTCTTCCCTACTTATTTATCCATTCATTTAATAATTTTCTTGCAGTTTTTTTAATTGAAACTTGTTTATTTATCCTATAGCATTTCCCATAGTTGGTGTTTTACTGATTGCAGCCTGATGGTGTCCTTTTAAAATGTTCCTCTGTTTCCTGTATTTCCTATATCTTAGATCTAGAAGCTTGAACAGGTTCTGTTTTGATTTTTTTTTTTTTTTTTTTGGTCAAGAATATTCTCTAAGTGGTATTTTATACTTTCATTTGGAGGGACTAATGTCTGGTTGTCTCTTTTTTTGTGATTTTTTTTGTGCCACTGATTATCAGTGCCTGCCCATTTATTTCATTAGGGATAATAAAATGTTGATACTATGATTCCTTCTTCATTTATTAGCAGGACTACTTCTTTTATTGAAATACAGTTGATTTACAGTGTTGTGTTAATTTCTGTTGTATAGCAAAGTGAATCAGTTATACATATATACATTCTTTTTTTATATTCTTTTCCATTATGGCTTATCACAGAATATTGAGTATAGTTCCCTGTGCTGTACAGTAGGACCTTGTTTTTGTCTTTCTCTTTCTGACTTACTTTACTTAGTATGATAATCTCTAGGTCCATCCATGTAGCTGCAAATGGCATTATTTCATTCTTTTTTTATGGCTGAGTAGTATTCCACTGTATATATATACCACATCTTTATCCACTCATCTGTCAATGGACATTTAGGTTGTTTCCATGTCTTGGCTGTTGTGAATAGTGCTGCTATGAACATAGGGGTGCATGTGTCTTTTTGAGTTATGTTTTTGTCCATATATATGCCCGGGAGTAGTATTGCTGGATCATATGGCAACTCTATTTTCAGTTTTTTGAGGAACCTCCATACTGTTTTCCACAGTGGCTGCACTAATTTAGATTCCGACCAACCGTGTAGGAGGGTTCCCTTTTCTCCACACCCTCTCCAGCATTTGTTATTTGTAGACGTCTTAATGATGGCCATTCTGACTGGTGTGAGGTGGTACCTCATTGTAGTTTTGACTTGCATTTCTCTAATAATTAGCGATGTTGGAGCTGGACTACTTCTGAAAAGAGAAACCTCCTCTCATCAGCTATTTGGTTATCCTAGAGTATAGTTCATATAGGAAAGTCAGGGTACATGCTTGATTCTTATTTTTATTTTTCAGTTTTCAAAATGGATTGGCTATGTCTAACATTAAAAATGATTAATTAGGGTTAGTTTTTAATTTTTTTGGTTTCTTATCTATTTAATGTTATTATGAACCATAGATGTAATGAAATTTAGGTTGCAGACATTTCCCTTAATGATGCTCAAATTGTCCCATTTTTAGCTGGTAGGAGGCTTTTCCAGTTAACTTCTGAGTCCTTTTAAAATACTGTTTGTCTTTGATAACATCCTTGCTTTCTGGTATGATTAAGATAGTTTCTAGGCTCATCTTTTACATTTCCTACCCCAGTCTTGGAATTAGACTTTCTTCTATGAGCCTGATATGTTTTAGTAGGAAATGATATTTACAGACCACAATCTGGTATTAGTACTTCTCATTGCTACTGGGGTGGCCATTGTTTTTAGGTCTTTTTAGTGGACAGAGCTAGGAAGTATTTTTTCTGTTTCTCTCTCATAAAGTACACCATGAGTTCATACTGATCCTTTCAGTTCAGATTCAAGACTACTGGTTTTTTTTGTTTGTTTGTTTTTAGTTTATATAAAAATTTATTTGACCAAAATGTAGAAAGAATCTACATACCATAAACAAAGTAAAAAGGCAAATACCAAACTGGGGAAAATGTTACACTTATAAGCTAGATAAAGAGTAAATATTCCTGATATGTAAAGAGTTTCCAAAACTAGAAAAAAAAGGCCTACAACCCTATAGAAAAATAGGTATAGATAGGAAGGGACAAGTCACAGAAAAAGAATTAAAATGACTGTTACTCATGTGAAAAGATGCTCAACCTTGTTTATGGTAAGATAAAAATAATTAAAACTTGATTCTTATTTTTATTTTTCAGTTTTCAAAATGGATTGGTTACGTCTAACATTAAAAATGATTAATTAGGGTTAGTTTTAAAGTTTTTTGGTTTCTTATCTATTTAATGTTATTATGAACCAAGAATCTAAATGAAAAGTGTGGGTTTTATTCAGTTGCACAACTTGCTAGTGTATCTCCTGGATAGTGTAATGCTTAGTGAGGGGCAGAAAATTCAGATAAGCTAGAAGCACAGGGTGATTTTTAGTCAGAATTGTAAGCCTGAGTTGGCCCCCACACTGCTGGGGAATGTGGAATGTTTCAGCTCTGAAATATTAACTGAGAAAGCAGAAATATAACAAAGCCAAATTCTGCAGCCCTGTCTACAAAATACTCCATATCCAGTTTAATCAGGTGTTTCTTGGTCTTTTATTAACTTGGTCCTGAAGAATGAATTAAAATTCTAGATAAGTAAATCTCCAATTTGCCATTCCCTGGAATATAGAGGAGATGAAGTTAGGCGAATTACTTTTTTATCTCTACTTTGCTGTCAGAGAGGGCCATTCTGCCCAGTATTTGTTTACAGAAAAACAGTTCTTGCTCAATTATTGATGGCTAGCAGTCCTTTTGATATGGCTTCTCTGAATAGGAGGGAATTCTACAGTATTCATTCCTGCTCAGTAGATGGCCTCATATCAGAGCAGATAAGCACGGGTCATTATTGGAATAAGACATCAGCTCCTCAGAGAACAACTTTAGAATGAAAGAAACATATAGAAGGCGTATCAAGGACCTATCCAGAAAATACTGGGTAATTATTATGACTCTTTTCCAAGCACTCTCATGCTGACTGCTCAGAGGATGTTCCCTTGGCATGGTGGAGTGTGGAAAAGAGCCAGGATGATTAGGTTAATCTCTCTGTGGTTTATGACTTCCCACAGTAAGCCCCACCTCCCCCTTTTTTGCTCTGGATGGAAAAGACCCAACACCCATTTTAATATGATGGTCTCTGGCCTCCTGTAGTGTGACCAATGGTAGATATTCTTCAACCTTTTAAATTGACCCATGACTAGACATTGCAATCTGTGTTTTGAAAGTGTAGGGTTGTCTGTTCCACAAAGAAATGCCCTCAAGGACTACTGGGTTTTTACTTCACCTCATCAATCTCCCATTTTCCTCCTTATCCCAAATTGAAAATTCTGGTTCTCAGAAGCATCAACATAATTGCATTCATTATTTGCTTCATTCCATTGGCACCAACATAGTTCATCATTTGCTTAAATCCATGCATTACATGCAACAGTTTCAAAATAAAAGTACCAATACTACCATCAAAAATACGATTACTACTGAAAATTGTTTTTTAGTTTGTTTTGTCTTTAGGATATATCCCCCTAGGGTTATATAGTCAAATTACTGTTCTAAAGTTACTGGGAATAATTCTTCTGTATGGTTAGGCCACAAAGGAAACTGGATAAATATATATGGTCATTTTGATTTTTATGGATTACATTTTCGAGATTAATTTTATAATTATTTAAAATATTTACATGATTCCAAGTCAAACCTATAAAACAAGAAGTATTTGAAGTTTCTAGCCTCTGCCTCTGTGCTATCCATGCTATTCTTTCCTTCTCCCATAGGTATTTTTTAATTTTATAGTTTATTATTCCATTAAAAATAATATTACATATACATATATTCATATATTTCCATTGTCAGAGAAAGAAGAGCATATTATACACTTTTATTCTCCATGCTTTTTTTCTTAATATATGCTTGTGAATAGTAAAATAATTTTTATTCCTTTATAACTTTATTGAGATACAGTTTACATACTGTACAATTCACCCATTTAAAATTTACAATTCAATGGTTTTTAGCATCACAGAGTTGTGCAATCATTACACAATCAATTTTAGAACATTTTTATCACCCCAAAAATAACCCCCAAAGCCATCATTAGCAGTCACTTCTCATTTCCCCCAAATCCTACCAAAGACCAAACTATCTCTAAATTTGCCTGTCATGGACATTTCATATAAATGGAATCATACAATATGTGGTCCTTCGTGACTGGCTTCTTTTACTTAGTGTAAAGTTTTTAAAGTTCATCCATGATGTAGCATGTACCTGTACATGCTTTATTCCTTTTTGTTACTGAATAATATCCCATTGTATGGATATATCACGTTTTGTTTTTCTATTCACCAGTTGATGAGCATTTGGGTTGTCTCTACTTTTTTGGCTATTATGAATAATGCTGGTAGGAGCATTCTTGTACAAGTTTTTGTTTCAAAATAAGTTTTCGTTTCTCTTGAGTATACTCCTAGGAATGCAGTTGTTGGTTCCTATGATAATTCTGTGTTTTACATTTTAAGGAAATGCCAGACTGCTTTCCAAAACAGCTGTACCATTTTACATTCCCACCAACAGTGTATGAAGGTTCTGATTTCTCCACATTCTTAGCAACACTTGTTATTATCTTTTTTATTATAGCCGTCCTAGTGGATATGCTTATTCCTGTTCACAGACATACTGCACTGAGTGGGTATACCACAGTTTATTCAACCAATCCCCATTAATGGACATTTGAGTTGTTGCCATTTTTGTGCTATTACAAATCATACTTAAATAAATAGCTTTTTGTTTATGTCTTTGCAATTTTTTGCCAGCGTATCTTTGGGATATAGTCTCAGAAGTGAGATTGCTACATCAAATGATAAATGTAGATGTAAGTTTGCTAAGTATTGCCTAATTCCTCTTCATGGGGGTTTTAGCATTTTACATTCCTATCTGCAGTGTGTGAGAGCACCTGTTTCCTTACAGCCTCACCGATAGAGTATGTTGTCAAACTTTAAGATTTTTGCCATCCTTGTAGATGAGAAATGGTATCTTATGATAGTTTTAATTTTTTTTATCTTACCATAAACAAGGTTGAGCATCTTTTCACATGAGTAACAGTCATTTTAATTCTTTTTCTGTGACTTGTCCCTTCCTATCTATACCTATTTTTCTATAGGGTTGTAGGCCTTTTTTTTCTAGTTTTGGAAACTCTTTACACATCAGGAATATTTACTCTTTATCTAGCTTATAAGTGTAACATTTTCCCCAGTTTGGTATTTGCCTTTTTACTTTGTTTATGGTATTATTTTGCCATGGGAAAGTTCTTCATTTTTAGGAAATCAAATTTATTTTTTTATTTATTTTTTAATTATTTTTTTTTTTTGCGGTACGCGGGCCTCTCACTGCTGTGGCCTTTCCCGTTGCAGAGCACAGGCTCTGGATGCGCAGGCTCAGCGGCCATGGCTCACGGGCCCAGCCGCTCCGCGGCATGTGGGATCTCCCCGGACCGGGACACAAACCCATGTCCCCTGCATCGGCAGGCAGACTCTCAACCACTGCGCCACCAGGGAAGCCCAGGAAATCAAATTTATTAATTTTTTCACTTATCATTTCAGGTTTCAAGTCATATTTAGGAATGTTTTTCCCTCTTGAAAGTTATAGAGAAATTTACTCAAGTTTCCTTTTTGGAATTCTGTGATTTAATTTTTGTAATTAAATCTTTGATCTGTTTAGAATTTTTCTTTCGTGTATGGTATTTATTGTATATGGCTGTCCAATTATCCAGTTGTTCCAATACCAGTTGGTAAAAAGTCCATTTTTCCCCTATGGATTTGAGAGTCCTCCTTTGTTTTATTTAAATTTTTTAAATGCTATTGGATCTATTTCTAGATTTTCTGTTGTTCTGTTGACCTGTCTGCTTATGTACCCATATTAACTGTTTTAATTATAGAAACTTTATCATCAAGTTCTAATATCTAATAAAAGTAGCCATTTTCATCCCCAGTTGTTTTACTTTTTTAGGGTTTCCTTACAATTCTTTTTTTTTAAATAAATTTATTTATTTTTGGCTGCATTGGGTCTTCGTTGCTGCACACAGGCTTTCTCTGGTTGCAGTGAGTGGGGGCTACTCTTTGTTGTGGTGCGTGGGCTTCTCATTGTGGTGGCTTCTCTTGTTGCGGAGCACGGGCTCTAGGCGTATGGGCTTCAGTAGTTGTGGCATGTGGGCTCAGTAGTTGTGGCTTGCAGGCTCTAGAGCGCAGGCCCAGTAGTTGTGGTGCACAGGCTTAGTTGCTCCGCAGAATGTGGGATCTTCCCGGACCAGGGCTTGAACCTGTGTCCCCTGCGTTGGCAGGCGGATTCTTAACCACTGCGCCACCAGGGAAATCCCTTACAATTCTTATTTGTATGTTCTTCCAAATAACTTTTTTTATCAATTTGTCTATCTCTAGAAAAAAATCATACTTTTAAAATTATTAGGGTTGCTTTGTATTTATCAATTACCTTAGAACTTACATCTTTACAATGTTGAGTCTTCCTATCTAAGAACATGGTATGTCTCTCCATTTGTTCAAGTTTATTTTTGTATCTTTCAGGAGTGTTGAATAGTTTTCCTCATAAAATTTTGGAACTTCTCTTGTTAAACTTATGCTTACATATTTAATTTTGGTTTTTGCTTTTATAAATGAGGGCTTTTCTTTCCAAATGCTTTCTGACTGATTTGTCTATGAAAGCTATTGATTTATTTCCTGTAGATTCTTTTGATTTTTTAGGTACATAATCATATACTGTGAAAATTCCAATTTTTCCTTTCAGATTTTTGTGCTTCTAATTGCTTTCTCTTGTCTAATGGTGTGTGCAAATACCTTCAGCACAGTGTTAAATTGTAGTGGAGATGCTGGGCACTTTTACCTTGTTTCAGACTTTGGCGGGATATATGCTCATATGTCTCTATTAAATAAGATCCTGGTTTGGGCTAAGGTTTATATTTATTTATTTTATCATGTTGAGGAAGCATACCATCAATTCCTATACAATTCTGGTACTCTAATCATTACTTCTCTTTTTTTTTGGCTGAAACAGTTCTATAGAGGGAAACATTCCTTCATCATCTGTCTTTTTTCGTTTTTTAAACAGGGAGGACAATAGAGTTTTTTAAAGGGTTTAGACTAAAGATTTCCCCCTTCTTGTCAAATTTGTTTGAAGAAAATATTTGTACTATTTCACTTGAGAAGACAGTTTAGCTAATGTTTTTCTTAAACCAGTACAGCCATGGTTCATTTAAGGAAATCCCCCATGAGCTGCTAACTAATATGAAATGCTGCCATTATGGCTAAGAGCAGCCATCTGGATTGTGTAAACGTTTGCATAATTCTGGTGAGTCAGATGTTTGATTTTGAACCTGCATTTTATTTATTAGATTGCCCCAAATATAATAAATGTTTTAACATTTTATTTTAAAAGTATGGATATTGAATTTAGATAAGAAGACCTGTGTTGTAGTTTTGAGAATAAAGCATTCTTGTTTTCTTCCAATGAAAGGAAACCGACCATGCAGAAAAACAGTAGGCCTAGTGTTAGCTTCTGTACTTACCTAGAAGGTATTTTCATTAGCATTTGAGTGTTACTTAACAAGATTTTAATATTTTTATTACTATCGCATTCCTGTTTCTCTGCTGATACGTCCTATATTTTCAGGGCTTTTGTCTCCATAATGTTTTTAGGTTGCTATTTAATATACGTTGCAGGGAATTCCCTGGTGGTCCAGTCATAGGACTCGGCGCTTTCACCACGGGTGCCCAGGTTCGATCCCTGTTGGGGACACTAAGATCCTGTAAGCCGCACAGTGCAGCCAAAAAAGAATATAAATGTATTATATATATATATATATATATATATATATACACAATGCATACTCATACTAAATATATAACTGGTGATAGTAGGTAGTAGGGCAAGGGGTATTATTGTCAGGAGAAGTCAACCTGATATTGAAAATTTAGCTCAGTAAAATCTAAAAAATACTTAATTTCACAAGATAATAGAAAGTTGATTGTATATCTTATTTTACATTCATATTTAATGCTCAATTAGGCGTCCATCATTTCTCGTAAAAAAGAAGCCAAAGCTGAGGAACTTCAGGAGGCAAAGGAGAAGTTAGCCAACCTAGAGAGAGAAGTGTCAGCGAAGACAAATCAGACCCGTGAATTTGATGGCACCGAAGTTTTGAAGGGAGATGAAGTAAGTTGAGGTGTCTAATGGGACAAGGATATGAGTATTGTTTTTGTTTGAAACCATTAATTTTTTTTACTTTTTATTTTGACTGTCAATAATGAGAAGTTAATTTATTTTATGAAGCCTATTTATTTAAAACTGAAAGCTCTTTGCAGTAATATTGAGATATTCTTGATATATAATGATGGAGATTTTAGTGACTTTTATGAGATAATGTTCCAAATTTTCACTTTTTAATTAGGTGGATTTATATTGGATTTATTTATTATAAGTATTAAGCTATAAAGGTGAAACCAAATGAGTAGAAACTGACAGATAAGACAAATATTCATATTTTTTGATAAATATAATTCCATAAAGGGCTGAGAAAGTATCACTAAGTTACTTTGTCAGTAATGTGTAGTTGGCCAGTGGGACTGGCACCATAAAATGACTTTGTTGTAAATGCTTACAAATTTTAAAAATATAATTATGTCTTACATTGCTATCTACTTTACATTTTGAACAATGCTTTAACAGCTCTTATTTCACTTATCCTTCTGTCAGACTCATGAGATTAGTAGGACAAGTAATATTGTCATTTATAGACAAAATATAATCCCCATCTCCTTTTCATAAAGGAGCTCTTTTGCTCTTTCTTAGCTCAAGAAAGAGTGAATGACTGAAGCAAAATATCTTGCCTTTAGCTCAGTGCTTTTTTTTTTTTTAGCAAATCAAGTGCTAGGTCATATTTTATTTTATTTTATTTTATTTTATTTTATTTTTTGCGGTATACGGGCCTCTCACTGCTGTGGCCTCTCCCGTTGCGGAGCACAGGCTCTGGACGCACAGGCCCAGTGGCCATGGCCCACGGGCCCAGCCGCTCCGCGGCACGTGGGATCCTCCCGGACCGGGGCACGAACCCGTGTCCCCTGCATCGGCAGGTGGACTCTCAACCATTGCGCCACCAGGGAAGCCCAATACGTCATATTTTAATTCTTAAACATTGCCTCACTTTACCACCTCTAACAGCTTTTTTATTTTATATTAAGTACTAGCCCTCAGCAAAAGCTACTTTGAAAAGCTGCTCAGGTCCAAACTTCATTTTTGGCTTTGGAAAGTTATTGAATTCATACCGTTACAAATTGGCAATGAACCTTAACTATGCCAAACACAAATGAATTGTTTCCACAGCACCACTTTTCTCTGGTGCTTCTGATTGTAGCCTCCCAGTATGCCTTCTAGCTTATTGGGAAGTTAGTAGAATTCAGAAGTCAACACTTGATTGAAAAATTCCTTTGGCTTTCATAGAAAGGAACGAAATTGGGTCATTTGTAGAGACCTGGATGGATCTAGAGACTGTCATACAGAGTGAAGTAAGTCAGAAGGAGAAAAACAAATATTGTATATTAATGCATATATGTGGAACTTAGAAAAATGGTACAGATGAACCAGTTTGCAGGGCAGAAATTGAGACACAGATGTAGAGAACAGATGTATGGACACCAAGGGGGGAAAGTGGCGGGGGAGGGCGTGGTGGGTGGTGGTGGTGGTATGAATTGGGAGATTGGGATTGACATATATACACAAATATGTATAAAATAGATAACTAATAAGAACCTGCGGTACAAAAAAAAAATTCCTTTGGCTTTTAACATCCACTTCCAGATTGCTTTAAGACATGGGAGTATTTTAAATGATACTTGGAAGCCAACGGAGTGTGCTTTGTGATATCCTTGCTATCCAGGAAAAAAATATTAATTATGCAGCAGTTTCGCTTTATAAGAGAACATGCTATCTCCTAGCATTTTAATTTTTTCTTAGGAAAATGCTGCCCATTTGACCAGAAATACCAATTGCTATGGCCATATTTGGCATGAATAGTGCTTATAATTCAGTATTAGATATCCCCTCTCTGCAAATGTGACGGAAAAGAACCTAGTGCCAAGCTATTAGCTTTTATCTTTGACAAATTATGGTGAATAGGAAAAGTATCTGATGACAGAAAAAGACACATTTTTTAAAGGGGAAAAAGATAACTTTGGATATGATGAGGTCAACTTAAGTTTTAAACAATGTTTGGTCAGAAACTAGAACAAATCAAGTAAATCATTTGGCAGTCACCTAAAAGAACAGAAGGTATTGGGGAACATTAAGCCCAATTTTATAAAGAACAAATCTTGGTAGACCAATTTTGTTTTCTACTCTGATAAAGTGGTAGACCATATGGACAAAAGGGAGAAAGTTTGTTATCCTTAAAATTATATAATATAGCTGGACTTCACTAAGGTTTCATTTGGTATCACATGGTAATTACCAAAAAATCATGTCCTTTACCACCAATCTGTTAATGCAGTTGGTGAGAGGGTATCAAGAAATGGTAGCACGGTGTTTGAAAAGTATATTATGCCCGGAGTCACAAATAGGAGAATGAGGAAAGGGAGGGGTAACCTTTATTGAGCAATTTTTATATAAGGCTCTCTGCTAGATGATTGGCAAACATATATTTCTCTTCTTCTTGTAAGAGATATTATTGTTATTTCCATTTTACAATTAGTTGAAACTCAGGAAAAGTATAGATTTACACAACTAATAAGTGGCCAAGCAGGATCCAGGTCTCTCTCACCTGTTCCTATTGACCTTAAGCAAAATGACTTCTCCATCTGCAAAATGGGAGAAGTTGCTCTTCATTGTCGTTAGGAAGAACACATGAAATAATGGATGTCCAAGCTTCTGAGAAATTCAGAGGTTAAGTCAACATATAACATCTGGCATCTGAAAGTAATCATTCCTGTGGGCCCCATGTTACTGCATGTGGGAGAAGCAGGATAGTGGAATAACTAAGAGCGTGGTCTCTAGAACTTGGTTTGAGTGCAGATCCTGGCTTTGTCAGCCTATTAGCTGGGTGACTTTGGCCAGGTTCCTTAACCTCTTTGTATTCACATGTAAAATGTGACAGTTATTAGTATATACCGCCTAGAATTATTATTGTGTGGATTAAATGAGTTAATACCTGTTAAGTGCTTAGAATAGCACCAGGCACATACTAAGTGCTCAATAAGTATTAGCTCTTAATATTTTTATGTATTTATTTAACTGGATGAAGAATTTGAAAGTAAGTAATACAGTTTACAGCTTAAAAATTGATACTAGTATTTTCCAGATTGGGAGCAATTCAGTAGAAATAAGAATGAAATAGAGATAAAATAAATTGCACAGATTCAAGATGTGATGAGATAGCACTGAGTCATTTTAGCTGCCGTTCACCAAGCAATACCTGTGTGCTCAATCTTGAGCACTTTAAAAACATATCCTTGGGGCTTCCCTGGTGGCGCAGTGGTTAAGAATCTGCCTGCCAATGCAGGGGACACGGGTTCGAGCCCTGGTCCAGGAAGATCCCACATGCCATGGAGCACCTAAGCCCGTGCACCACAACTACTGAGCCTGCGCTCTAGAGCCTGTTAGCCACAACTACTGAGCCCACGTGCCACAACTACTGAAACCCACATGCCTAGTGCCCATGCTCTGCAACAAGAGAAGCCACCGCAATGAGAAGCCTGCACACCGCAACGAAGAGTAGCCCCCGCTCACCACAACTAGAGAAAGCCCGTACACAGCAACAAAGACCCAACGCAGCCAAAAATAAATAAATACGATAAATAAATTTATTTTTTAAAAAACCCATATCCTTGGCCTTTCTCACCTTCTGAGATGACCCACACTCTGGAGTGTGTTTCTAAGTAAATCTGCTTCTTACCTAAAAAATAAAAATAAAAACAGGGCTTCCCTGGTGGCGCAGTGGTTGAGAGTCCACCTGCTGATGCACGGGACGCGGGTTCGTGCCCCGGTCCGGGAAGATCCCACATGCCGCAGAGCGGCTAGGCCCATGAGCCGTGGCGGCTGAGCCTGCGTGTCCAGGGCCTGTGCGTCTGGAGCCTGTGCTCCGCAACGGGAGAGGCCACAACAGTGAGAGGCCCGCGTACCGCAAAAAAAAAAAAATAATAAAATAAATAAAATAAAAACAAAAATATATCCTTGGTGCTGGTTGCACAAGTTGCTGGTGCTGTGAATGCATTTAATGCCACAGAACTGTACACTTAAAAATAGTTAAAATGGTAAGTTTTACATTAAGTATATTTAACTACAATAAAACACACATACAACATATGCTAATTCATCCTCTCAAAAAGCCTATGAGGTAAATATTATCTCCATTTTATTATTGAGGAAATAGGCTTAGAGAAATTTAAGTAACTTGCCTGAAGTCACACAGTGAGTTGCAGAGCAAGGATTTGAATCCAAATCTGAATGCCTCAGCAGCTGTGCTCCTAAGTGAATGCTGAGCTATTCTTCAAGACACTATTAGAATGAGTTAATTTTAAGATTCATATTTGACTCTAAATAGGACCACATTGTAGACAGTCATTAACTGGAAACAAAAGCTTGCTAGAAACTTCATTCCTTGATTATCCATATGTAGATGTTTGATTAATCTTTTCTTGGAAAAATTTAGGAATGTGACTGTGTAAGGATAAATGTAACAAATACTATACATATAGTAATTTATATTCTTTTGTCATTTTCTCTTTAGAGGTGTGCATTTTGAAGTACATTTTGATGCTTCCTACTGCCATTAAAGTCAATATTCCAGATGTTACATTTTGTCTAAGAATTTTAGCTCTTTTGATTGCAGATGACAAGTGCTACGGTCATTTGTTCTTACTAGACTTTTTCATTTGTGTTCCCTTGATTTTTCTTATTAAAAAGATGAAGAGTCTAAAAATACTTCTTGCTTTTCTTATACTTTGGTTATCACTTTAACACTGTATTTTCATTGTATTGCCTTGTAGTCAATATACAGGAATAAGCACAGCAAAATCTTATTCTGCCAGACTTCTGACATAGGTAGGAATTTCTCAAACAGTTGCAATTATCTTCTTAGTAATGGAGATTTTCTTGCTGGTCTAGTCTATCTTGATTTCTTTCTCTTCAAACAAGTGTTTGGTAGGTGATAAAAAGGTTAAGTT